TTTGTCCTGAAAAACAATAGCAAAAAATGCTTTTGTCGAATACAGCACAATGGAGGAAGCATTGTGTCCTAAGATCGGCATGGAGTTTCAGTCAGAAGATGAGGCATACAACTTCTACAATAGGTATGGATTAGTTGTTGGGTTCAATGTTCGGAAAGACTATTTGAACAAGGATAAAGACGGTGTAGTTACATCGAGAAGGTACACATATTGTAAAGAAGGTTTCAAACCACGGTACGAAGGAGATGTCAAACCAAAGAGAACTTGGGCTGAAACAAAAACCGGATGTGAAGCTAAAATGAGGATAATTTTGAACAGAGAAACAATGAAGTATCAGATTCGAGATCTGGTAATCGAGCATAATCACATACTACACATTTCAGAATGTGCTCATATGATGCGTTCGCAAAGAAAAGTAAGTATTTCTCAAGGAGCCCAAGCTGAGATTGCAAATGATGCAGGAATATCCTTGAAACAATCCCATGAACTCATGGGAAAAGAGGTAGGTGGATTAGGCAATATTGGCTACACTCGTGATGACTTAAAACGCTATCTACGAACAAAAAGAGAGAAGGGATTAAAGTATGGTGAAACTGGTGCAATGCTACGATACTTTGAAGAACAAAAATTGGAAAATCTGTCATTCTTCCACACAAAGCAGCTTGATTGTGAAGAACAAATTACAAATATATTTTGGGCTGATACATCAATGCTGATGGATTATATCTGTTGATCTTGATCCCTATTTTTTGATGTTTACAAAACAAATGGATGATACTAATATTTCTTCAAGATATACTTTCAGTTTTGAAGTTGTTTGATTCCATGAACAAGTGCAATTGAAAGGGGACAAAGTATGCTGAAACTGTCGGACGCTCAAGTAGTCAGGATCGGACGTTCGATAATCATTGCATCACTTCGGACGCAGAAAACCAGCCTACCGGACGTCCGAAAGAATGAAGAACATCAAGAAGGAAACTCTGTCGGATACTCGTAAGGAAGCATCGGATGTCCGGGAGGATCGGACGCACGCTTCGGACGCACATTGATCGCATCGGACGTCCGAGAAATTTCGTAAAGTTTTGATGACTCTCTGACGACGTTCGGACGCTGATGCTGTCGGACGATAAAATCCCATCGGACGTCCGAACGACAACTTGGCTGATTTTCGGACAATGGGTTCGGACGGTGATTAATCTGTCGGACGTCCGACGACCCCAACGGCTAGTTGACTGTTCAGCTACTTTCTATCCGTTGGAAGCATTAATGAGGCACTTTCTTGGTCCTATATAAATAGTGGTTTGTCAGATATTTCAAACAACTTTTGCACACTGAAGATACAAAAGATCTAGAGAGATTTTAGTGAGAAAATACTCTTCAATAGAAGATTTGTAGTCTTAGTGGTGTGAGAGTCTTTGTAAGTTTTTCATTTGTGAGTGAATACTTCATGAGTGTAGCTCTGCGAGGGTTGTCCTGAGGGATAGTAAAACGTCCTAATTTGACCGAGTGGAGATCGGGGCAAGGAGGAGGTGAACCTTCCTTTATACACAAGAGTGATTGTAATTCATCAATTTGAAGTAGTTTGTTTGAATTAATCTACAAGCTCAAGAGGAGCTGTGTAGTAAATTGGTTTGCAATCCTTTCCTTTTATTTACTTATTGTTACGCTTTTGATCTTTAAATTGTTTATCTCATCTACTCCCAAGCAGTTTTGCTTTCTTGTTCATTGTCTCATTGGTTGTCTTCGAGCCTTACAATTGGTATCAGAGCTTGGTCTCCTAGAGATTAAGCTTAACCGCTTAGAGTAAAGATCATGGCAACCATAAAAGTTTTCTTTTTAGAAGGGCAATCTATTGATAGACCACCTATGTTTAATGGTTCTCATTTTAGCATGTGGAAACAAAGAATGATGATTTTCTTACAATCCGTTTATATTGAATTATGGTATGTGATAGAAGATGGTCCTTATGAAACTAGAATAGTTGACTCTACCACTAATTTGAGTAGATTAAAGACTAGACAAAAATTGAATGAAAAAGACAAGAGATACCTTTTTTTGAATGCCAAGGCCATGTATATATTGTATAATGCATTAGATGTAAATGAATCTAGTAAGATTAAAGGTTGTAAATCAGCTAAAGATATTTGGGATAAATTGTGTAAATTTCATGAAGGTAACCAAGATATTAAAGAACAAAAGAAATCTTTGCTTGTTTTTCAATATGAATTTTTCAAAATGCATCCTCTTGAAAATATTGATAAGATGTGTAGTAGATTTTGTGACATTATTCAAGATTTTAAATTGATTGGAAAAGAATATTCTTTGGATGAGAAAAATAGAAAGATTTTGAATGCCTTGCCAAAAGAATGGGAAAACAAAATAAATGCTGTAGAAGAGGCAAAGGATTTAAATTCTATGTCCATTGAATCTCTTGTGAATTCCCTAACCTCTTATGAATTAAAGCTGAAATTCAAAGTGCAAGAGAAAGAAAATGCAAGAATGTATAAGAGAGGCATAGCTTTTAAAGCATCTCAAGTGGGGGATAACCCATCCTTCATGGGTAATGAAAACATGGAAGTGGACAATGATATAACTCCTCACATCAAAAGTTTCAAGAAGATGTTCAACAAGAGAAGTTCAAGAGGAGATTGCAAAATTACATGGGATGAATGCAATTCAAAAAGAGAAAACGAAGAGTTGGCCCAAATGGCACTAATGGCCATTGGAAATGATGAGGTAACATCTTATAACTCTCAAGTTGAAAGTGATGATGAAACTGATGATGATATTGAATCTTTCATTATAAAATTACATAATTATTTGAAAGAGTCCTATGCTAGAAACAAGGAATTAAAACAGAAAATTAGTTTTTTACTTCGAGATAATGCAAATTTTTTTCAACAAAATAAAAAGTTGAAAGCTGAAAATGATTACTTCAAAAAGAGTGAGACTGCTTTACATTTTGAACTTGATAGAAAAATAAAACTTTGTGATTTGTTCAAAAAGGAACAAGGTGATTTGAAAAGAAAAATGGATGGTCTAAATGAGTTGCTTAAACACAAGAAACAAGTCTGTTTTCAAAAGAATAGGTTGAATTCTAATTCCAACGAATTTGCTATCCATAGGAGAAGACAAGTAAGATTTATTAAACCTGTTCATGTAAATAACTCTTTAGTTATGTGTAATTTTTGTTGTCAAAAAGGTCACATGAAAAGTGATTGTTATGTGAGAAAGAATATGAGAAGAGGCATGAAATGCATGTGGATAGTTAGACATGATACTAACTTTAACAAATAGGAGATTTTGTTAATCATTGCAGTGATTCTTGTTCACAATATTTTTTTTCTTTTGATATTTCTGATACTTTGATCTAAGTTTTCGCTGATATTTTTGAATACTACTGAATCTGTATGATGTCAAAAAGGGAGAGAAAAGAACTATTCTGATCTAACGATGATTTGTTAATCTCTCTGTGATATGTTGGTATGTTGGTATTGCTGAATTCTGGTATCATTTCTCTATTTTTGTTTTGAATATTGGATTCTCTGTTATTATTGTTGGATTATGGTTGCTGGTTACTACTCTCATCTTATGATGACAAAAAGGGGGAGAAATGGATGCTATGTGTTAGGGGAAGTTATTCTGAAATTATAAGTTTGGTTGCAATGAGTGAGGGGGAGTCTATGCTCATATGCTCAATTTTTTTCCTTCCTTCCATCCATTGTTTTGTCATCATCAAAAAGGGGGAGAATGTTGATTTTGATCCCTATCTTTTGATGTTTACAAAACAAATGGATGATACTAATATTTCTTCAAGATATACTTTCAGTTTTGAAATTGTTTGATTCCATGAACAAGTGCAATTGAAAGGGGACAAAGTATGCTGAAACTGTCAGACGCTCAAGTAGTCAGGATCGGACATCCGATAATCGTTGCGTCACTTCGGACGCAGAAAACCAGCCTACCGGATATCCGAAAGAATGAAGAACATCAAGAAGGAAACTCTGTCGGACGCTTGTAAGGAAGCGTCGGACGCTCGTAAGGAAGCATCGGACGCACATTGATCGCATCGAACGTCCGAGAAATTTCGCAAAATTTTGATGACTCTCTGACGACGTTCGGACGCAGATGCTGTCGGACGATAAAATCCCATCGGACGTCCGAACGATAACTTGGCTGATTTTCGGACGATGGGTTCGGACGGTGATTAATCTGTCGGACGTCCGACGACCCCAACGACTAGTTGACTGTTCAGCTACTTTCTATCCGTTGGAAGCATTAATGAGGCACTTTTTTGGTCCTATATAAATAGTGGTTTGTCAGATACTTCAAACAACTTTTGCATACTGAAGATACAAAAGATCTAGAGAGATTTTAGTGAGAAAATACTCTTCAATAGAAGATTTGTAGTCTTAGTGGTGTGAGAGTCTTTGTAAGTTTTTCATTTGTGAGTGAATACTTCATGAGTGTAACTCTGCGAGGGTTGTCCTGAGGGATAGTAAAACGTCCTAACTTGACCGAGTGGAGATCGGGGCAAGGAGGAGGTGAACCTTCCTTTATACACAAAAGTGATTGTAATTCATCAATTTGAAATAGTTTGTTTGAATTAATCTACAAGCTCAAGAGGAGATGTGTAGTAAATTGGTTTGCAATCCTTTCCTTTTATTTACTTATTGTTACGCTTTTGATTTTTAAATTGTTTATCTCTTCTACTCCCAAGCAGTTTTGCTTTCTTGTTCATTGTCTCATTGGTTGTCTTCGAGCCTTATAATATCTATTTTGGGGATGTGGTTACATTTGACACCACATATAAAACTAACAAGGAGTATAGACCATTGGGCGTATTTGTGGGATTCAATCAATTTAGATAATTGGTTATTTTTGGAGCAACTCTATTGTATGATAAGACCATTGAATCATTCAAGTGGGTGTTCGGTACATTTGTAGAGGCAGTTTGTGGAAGGCACCCAAAAACCATCTTCACAAATCAGGATGCAGCCATGGCCGCTGCAATTTCAGCTGTTATGCCTTCAACATACCATGGTCTGTGCACTTTTCATATTAGAGTCAATTTTATGAAACACCTTGGAAATTATTACAAGGATGGTAGTAATCTCCCATATAGATTTGTTGAATGTATGTATGAGATAGAAGATGAAAATGAGTTTATCATGACCTGGGATGCAATGCTAAAAGAACACAAGCTCGAAACAAATGAATGGTTGTGTGGCATTTATGCATGTCGAAAGAAATGGGCAAAATGCTTCATGAAAGGCGCTGGACTGCAGGTATACGTAGCACCCAACTAAGTGAGAGTCTAAATGTTGAAACTTGATCATGATCTGGTTCAATTCTTCAAACATTTTAATCGAGTTGTGGATGAAAAAAGATATAATGAACTAAGAGCTGAGTATCATAGTCGACAGAAGATGCCAATGTTGGGATTGCAACAGACTCCCGTACTGATCCAGGCAGCTTCTATATACTCTCCATACATGTTTGTTGCATTCCAGAATGAATGCGATGAATCCACTACAATGGTGATCTTGGACCAAAAGCATACTACAATGCATGTGGAATACAGTGTCAGTCAGTATGATGGAGGAAGGGTGAGAAGAGTGACATTGAATCCAATAACTAAAGACATTACTTGTAGTTGTAATCTTTTTGAGCAAGAAGGAATCCTATGCTCACATGCTTTAAAGTTGTATGATATGGTTGGAACAAAATTTATTCCTGATCAATATGTGATAAAGAGGTGGACAAAGAAGGCAAGGTCCGAAGGCATCGTCGATTGCAAGGGTAGAGAAATATCATCAGATCCGTCTTTTTCTATTTCCTATCAATATTAGCTATTAGCACCCGAAATGGTAAGACTTGCTACCAGAACTGCCATGTCAGAAGCCGCTACAAAGTTAGTCAGTAGCGTAATGTTTGAATTGTCAAAGAGAGTCGAAATGCTATTTTGTGGAGAAATAGATGAAATAACACAGAATAGTGGCTCAATGGATCTATGTAAGGAAATACAGGTACAGAATGCAGCTGGCCACTTTGTGACTCCAACAGGTTTGAAGAAACGAAGTGGCGAAAAAACTAAGTATTGCGTAGTTGGGTAGACAGGCTTCATAGGCAAAAGAAGAACTCTACATTGTCCAAGGCAAGCACTCCTGAGATGGTTAGTACTGAATCTTATTTTTTGACTTACATAACTATATCATTTCAATTGACTCTACTATCATAAGCCAACTCAGTTGTTGTATATTTTTGTCTTGTCAGAAATCAGAATCCTATCAACCCATCCAAAGCCAAACATCAATCAAATGTTTGTCATCGAATAAGGACAAGGGGTTGGAGCGGTTGTCAGACAACCGCTTGTAAACTTTTCATGGCCAAGATGTGGTGGGCCCATCATCAACGGCCAAAACGAAATCGAACAAAATGGAGATGAGTGTAGAGGATTGTTGCTTCAATACAAGCTTAACTTTTAACTCCGTTTGGTTTGGCCGTTAAGGGTATGAAAAATTCAAAATCAAAATTTGAAAATCAACTTTTGGTACGATCGGCGGGCTTTAAAACTCTTTCAACTTAAAAGATGTGGGAAGAAAATGGCGGTAGTGGATTTTCTCTGAACACAATACATTATTGCTGTAGCTCCTTTTGTTCTTCTTCTCTCAACAAGCTCCTTCTGTTCTTCTCCTCTCAACAAATTATTTTGCATAACATAGATATAAATTTTTGTCTTCTTTAGCTGGCCATTTTGTGACTCCAAGGGGTTTGAAGAAACGAAGTGGCAGAAAAACTAAGAAAGTGTTGCGTAGTTGGGTGGACAGGTTTCATAGGCAAAAGAAGAACTCTAAATTGTCTGAGGCAAGCACTCCTGAGATGGTTAGTACCGAATCTTATTTTTGGACTTACATAACTATATCATTTCAATTGACTCTACTATCATAAGCCGACTGAGTTGTTGTGTATTCTTCTCTTGTCAGTCATCAGAATCCTATCAACCTATCCAAAGCCAAACATCAAGCAAATGTTTGTCATCGAATAATTCTGTGGTAGTAAGTAGTTATTTTTATACTTTACATAATGTGCATTATAGTTCACTTTAGTTATTTCGGTGTTACAAATTAATGTTTTATTTGTACACATTGGTTATGAAGGTGTACATATTAGTGATAGGATATTCATCACATATTATTTATTTTTGACACAGTAATATCATATTTTGTACATATTAGTTGGTACACATTACGGTGATCTCTTAATTTAATAGCATTTATATGTTGTTGTTTATGTGTACAAACTGATATATATGGTGTACACATTGATTGATACCATGTACCAGTGATTATTTTGTTTTGAAATATCGTTATTGCATTTGGACACATGATTACACATTTGGATAAAATTTTTTACTAATTATTAATTTATTTGCTCACATTTATTTTTTCAATCGTACAAGTTACAATTATTTATCACCCGTTGTTTAGTTTTAACATCGTGTTATTATTCTGGTACACGTTGTATATTAGTTGGTACACAGTACGGAGATCTCTTCATTTAAAAACATTTACATGTTGTTGTTTTATATGTACAAACTGATATATATATATATGTGTGTGTGTGTGTTGTATGCATTGATTGATATCATGTACCACTGGTTACTTTATTTTGAAATATGAATAATTCTATTTGGACACATGATTATAGATTTGGATAAAAATTTTTACACATTATTAATTTATTTGCTCACATTTATTTTTTCAATCATACAAGTTACAATTATTTATCACCGGTTGTTTAGTTTTAATATCGTGTTATTATTCTGGTACACAGTACGGAGATCTCTTGATTTAATAGCATTTACATGTTGTTGTTTTATATGTACAAACTGATATATATGTTGTACGCATTGATTGATATCATGTACCACTGGTTACTTTGTTTTGAAATATGAATAATTTCATTTGGACACATGATTACACATTTGGATAAAATTTTTTACACATTATTAATTTATTTGCCCACATTTATTTTTTCAATCGGACAAGTTACAATTATTTATCACCCGTTGTTTAGTTTTAACATCGTGTTATTATTCTGGTACATGGTGTATTTTATCTTGTACACTACAAACCATATCATTTGAAACCTATTGCATAGTTACTTCAATCTAATGCATTAGTTATGTCTTATATTTATAGTAGCCCATAAGTTTGTAGTATAACTTTACAATGTATTCATTTATGGTCACGTATGTACTGAATTTTGATTTTTGTTTAGATTACTTTTGGTTGATTTTTGTTTACATATTGTTAATTCAGTTGAACACATTGTTATATATTATGTACACATTTGCATCATAATTTTCGTACGACCTAACATCTTAAATTTTGGGCACAATGTGTATTTAATTTTTACAAATTTGTTAGTTTGCTGTTATACACAGTGTTAGCATGACTTTGCAACTAATGTAATGTGCTACTTGTGATAATAGTCATTCAGTGAATCAAATTTTGGATCATCCCCAGTTATTCACTCAGATATGTAGTCTTGTAGGATGGTAAGTCAGATATTGCACTTGTGTGGATAATCAAGATTTTGGACAAATTTACAGTACCTTATTCAGTACAATACTTAATGGTAGCCCTGTGAAGTTGGAATCACCCCTCAAATACTGAGTGCTCATAATATCTGTATTCAAGATCGTAACAATCTCCCACTTTTGCTTTCCAACGATCCTGTGACCAAGACAAAGTACACAAGTTTCACCGAATTCTTAATGGTCAGTAATTCTTTAAAAAGCTCATTATTTACAGTTATTATTTAGAGCTATTCTAACCTTGTTACAAGACTATTGTAGGGCATGCTTTTATGAACACTGAACTTTTGATTTAAATAATTTATTGCTTGTTTCAATGATTGTCAGACCCCCATTGTGGCCTCTGTGGAAAGGTCAAAGAGCAGGACTCTCATGCAATTAAGCGATGAAGAAGTGCAACTACCTATGATATAAATGAGTAGAAGCTAATTGCCTTCCATGAATATGTATGCTAAACTGATGTATCTTGTGACCCTTTTGGAACTGGATTGGAACAATGTAATACTAAAATGATTGTTTTACTGTTATATTAGATAGTAGTTTGAGAATTGCAATCAATGCAGAATAGTTTTACGCCTTTTACTTCTATTCAATTGATTACAAGAAGTTATATATTCATCGTGGTGTCCCAACCCTGTTTGCCGCAAACAAAAAGTGAAGCATGTCCCAACAATAATGAACATTGCTCCCAACACAAAATTCTATATGTCCCACTAGTAGTAAAAACTTCATAACTAATGAACTTTCCCCCAACAGTAATCCCAAAAGGAGATAATTCTACATAATACAAGTACAAAATTCTATGCAACACAACTCATAAATTACTAAATATTTGTCAATCATTTATTACAACAGGCTTTTTCGTCGGGGAGGGATATTTAACAACTCAAGGATGGATTCGGCCCATTCGTTATGCTCGGTTGCAACCAATATAGACACATATTGCACTCGATACTTCCACATGTTATCCTATCCAAACATTGAAATAATCAGCACCACATGTTATACATTAGTCATCATAAAAATAATTGCTACCAAAAAATTTCTATAAATCAAAATAATATATATACCTCCGTAATGCGTATGCCTAATCTTCCATTCCAGTGCTCCAGAAATTTCATTATGAGCACACCACAATCATAGCTAAAACACGAGGTATACATTGTCGTGACAACCAGATTGTAGGACATACAAGTTTTACCTTACCATCCTAATAATATAACTTAGTATTTAGTTATATTTCTAGATAGAATATAAATAAACTCTTATTTACAGGACATATACCTATTGTGTGGAGACTATTGAGGCACATCTGTGACTTGCAATACAAATCTCTCGAAATCTACCAACTATTCATCGTGTTGTTGGAGCAAGCAAGCACCCACATGCAAAAATAACAAATAATCTCTTGAATTCATCCCCGACCTCCATGAATATTAGCTCATCTTCTATATCATGCTAATTTTACATCTTCTTCCTAGGATAATGTGGTTCACTATCAATTCCACCATCTCCAGTATCTTCAACCGACACTGACCCCTCACCTGGAATTCCAAGAGTCTTTGCTATATCTTCTGACGTTACAAGCAGTACACGTCTACCTTCAAGTTGTATATATGAGTGAGTTGGATTGAAATTATTCACCAACCACATGCATATCATACTTGGAGAGATAACGTATTCCAAAAATAATTGTCTGAGTTTTGATTTTTTTTCACAACACACTAAATAGTCTGAAAAACAGCCTCCAATGTTGACAAAACTAAAAACTATTTTTAACTTAATTATGGCATTTAAATTTATTCAGTTCAAAGACACGTATATGTATAAAAATATAGTGTTATCCTTCTTAGTTGATATTTCATTACTAGGAAATGAAAATTCAAAACTCAATATGTAATGCAACACTTAACTCCAAAAAATAGTAAAATAAAAATCATACCTCAAATTTTGGTATGTTCCTCCTTGTTCCATCTTCAAATCCAAGTACAGGCAAAAATGCCAAGGTTGGTCCTTTAATGTCCACAAGAAAGTTTTGCCATGACAGTTATGGTCAAAAACTAAGTGCTTAAAGCGGATAAGTAACAGTGAGGCCATCAAATGTATACATGCATCTAAAGTTTGTATCCTGTATGATTGCGTTTTAGTAGATACAAGTTGTGGAATCATACCATGTTATAGATATACAAGCGTCACTAGTTATGGTCTCAAGAAATGATTTGGACACGGCACCCTCTTATTTATTAGATTGTTTCTCTAGATGTTTGTAGAAGCAAAATTTTTCTGATTGTGATCATAATATGTGGCAGGAAACCAGGACAAGAATCTTTCAGGAAAGAGGAAATAAACAGAATTGCCTGATGATTATGAACCTAAAACTGGATGTGTTTTGGCTCATTAGCTTATTTTCTCGTAAAACAAAACTTCTACAACAAGTTTAGGGAAGAGAGGAAAGAGTAAATTTCACCGACAAGATAAATGCAGGTTTAATGAAAGCCAAACAAAAGAAATATGGAGTGCTTACATCTGATCTAGAATCTACCACAATCCCAAGAACTGTATCTCCAGCACACGGTACATACTACGAAAAAGAGTGCTCAAATGAAATTCAAAATGTTTTTATGATAAACACAAGAAAGTGTTCTTAGTCAAGAATCTAAAAGCAAACAGTTTCTTAAATTGAACATCATATCCTGTCTTGGTAACAGTAAAATTAAGTGGAAAGTTAAAGATTCAAGAGTGCCATCTTTTAGTATTTGTATTCTACAAATAAACT